GAACTCTTTTGTATATCATTATCACAATGCTCACAAATATACTGAAATCTCATCTGGAAGGTGAACAGATTTTCTCTGAACTTGTAGTTATTTAAACTGCATTAAACCCAGCCACTACAATAGCAACTCAGAATTTTAACTATTATGATATTGAACTATTAGGTTGCTCTATGTCTTTCTATAAATTAAACTCATATTATTTTCAGAAAGTGTTTTGTTTCAGTTTTAATTCATTTATATTTTGTAGTACAACTACAAGACAAGGTTTACTTGTTTCTTTTTTATTTAGAGTAAGTGTGACTTTTACTTAGAAAATCAATATACATTTCGGAAATTGAAACAAGAGTTGGAAAAATCAGCACCAGCAGAAACACTTCAAGTCATCCAACAGACAGTAGACCTTAATGTAAGTAAACAACGTACACAAGAAAGTCAAACCTTGTTTTCTTCATCTCAACAGGACCGAGAAAATTTTTTGAGATATCTAAGATTTCGAAAATATCAGGGGTAAAATACTTAAAGATAATTGGTTAAATTACTTTGACATATCCATGGTATTTGAAGTTTTGGTAATCGAGATATTGAAGGTCAACTGTATTTCATTTTTAAATCATCTTAGTTTTCAGTTACCGTGTATGAAAGAATGTGATAATTATGAAGATTTTTTTTTATGTTTTAAATGTTATTTTTTACACAGGCTATCACCAGTGCCCAGTTGTACGTGAGACAGCTGACGTTTGAGACCCTCCACCTCTGTGATAAATATAAAATCTGTGATTCTATTCCAGAACTACTCAGCTCACTGGATGAGGTACCTTTATTGTCTTATCAAGTTAATTATACCCTCCGCAAACGAAGTTTGGGGAGGGGTATATAGGAATCACCTTGTCCGTCTGTCCGGCCGTCCGTCTGTCTGTGCAATCGTGTCCGGTCCATATCTTTCTTACAGAGGGACATTAGAACCTACTACACTAAGATTGCTCATGACCTAAGGGTGTGTCATGACCTTGACCCAAGGTCATTTGGGGAAGTTCAAGGTCACTGGAAGAAAAATTTCATAATTCGTGTTCTATCCATATCTATCTTTTGGATAAACTTGGTAGGTTCTCATTTCACACAAAGATTGCTCATGACACAAGGATGTGTCATGACCTTGACCCAAGGTCATTTGGGAAAGTTCAAGGTCACTGGAAGAAAAATTTCAAAATTTCTGTCCGGTCCATATCTTTCTTATGGATAAACTTGGTAGGTTCTCATTTCACACAAAGATTGCCCATGACCCAAGGGTGTGTCATGACCATGACCCAAGGTCATTTGGGGAAGTTCAAGGTCACTGGAATAAAAATTTCATAATTCATGTTTGATACATATCTTTATTATGGAAGAACTTACTTCTGAAAAACCCAGTGGGGGTATTTTGTCCCGTTTGGACAGTTCTAGTTTTTATCAACTTTTATATCACTGACAGTATCTTTATACGATGCTATAAAGTAGGACAATTTGGTGCACTCTTTATTGTACATGTATCACCTTTAGTGAATTGCCACTTTGCTAAAATCTCAGTTTGGATATTAAATTTATCTAATATATACTGTAGACTTCCTTTTTTTCCACTGGGTCATAATTCTGCAGAATCTCAATTTCTGTTTAATCTGTGGGTAGAAAATTACGCGGATTTCTGAGACTGTCACTATATGCCTTACATTCATATTAATTACGCTTGGACAAATTTCCGTAGAAAATTTGTTACATAGCGTAAATTAATACCACGCGGAAAAAAGTACTTCTACGCTTACAGTATATTGATTCAGTGAAGTATATGGATAAATAAAACATGCCCGTTGAAAGTGGGGGGGGGACCTATGCCCCAATGTTCAATGTCTATATTATGTCTATCTTTGCTAAGCCCCCCTAGACCCTCCTGGTTTTGACGCCTATGAGATATATGTTTAACGGAAGGACCAGACTTGATTAAAGTCCATGAAAGTGAAAATTTACTCAAATCTAACTTTGAAATCTTTGGAGTTTTGAATTGAGCTAGCAAAGAAACATTCAGGTTTTAGCATTTATGCCTCTTATTTGTGTATATAAGTATAAAATCAGTTTCAAGTAAAATGCATAGGTAATTTATTCATCAATAGGGCATGGGTAAATGTTTGTAGATTCACTTTCCAGATCTCAATCAATTTTTAAATTTTGCTGCAAGGATTATCGGTATGCTAAATTCCAATAAATTCATGTGAAATTTTTAACCTTTATCTTAAAATGAATTATTTACTATAAATGGTATGTTCTGCTCTTATAATCAGTTAATGCACAAAAGATGGAATTTTGAAATCTTTATATTTTATATGAACCCAGGCTTTGGAAGTTGATGCTAAGAGGTGTCTGGCATCAAATGGTGAGAGCTGGGAGCAGCATGATTCCAGTATTAAAGACATGATCAGGCTACAGATGAAGGCAAGTTATTTTTTATCCTTCAAGTAATGCATACAAACGTATCCCCCCTCCCCCCCCCCCCAAAAAAACAAACAAAATAAGAAAGAGAGAAGTAAATTTAAAGTAAAGCATTTTGCGTAGGGCAAAAGTTTCTGTAGTTCTGATTAAATTTTTAAATCAAAATCTTCATAGGAAAAATAAAAATAAATAGAAGCAGCTATTCATTTTATCCAAAAGTTGATATTATTTTGAATTATTCAATTTTACGAAGCAAAGCAAGTGAATGTATGTAAATTCTGAAAATCCCATATACTGTAAACCAACTTTTATTCGTGTGCGAGAAATTTTCGTGATGTTCGCGAAAGCCTCTTCATTGCGAATATTTCTCGCCGCGAACCGGTCCTTAGAGTGTATTTGTCTATTAACAACAGATCCAAAAGGGCTTGATCGCGAAAATAAATCGTCGCGAACTAGTTTATCCGTGGTAAATCGCGAAATAAAGTCGTCGCGAAAAAAAGTTGGTTTACAGTATTTATTCTATACACTTAGATCATAGATTTTTTTTTATATAATACTGCATTTTTATAATTAATATTTGTTTTTTTAATATTTCCTCATTTTAAACAGGATCACCGTTTGATTAAACTGTCCCGTGCTCTGTTATCCTTAGGAGGTAGTGATCATGTAATTATGATGCTTACAAAACGGACCAGTGAGGTTTTACAGCAAGTACAAGTTCAACTGGAAATGAAGTCTACAGATAAAAGCTTCCAAGGATCAAAAACTTCTCTTTATAAAACCAGGGACAGTGTCAAAGAAGCAAAATTAGTGATAGTTTTATAAGTTTCTTTACTTACAGAGGAGAAGGCTTGGGAAAGTGCAATCAAATGAAATAACATTAGGCCTAGAGATGTCTTCCTAATAAATTTTTACATGTGACTAAAAAACATTTATATTCCAAAATTCCTATAAATGATTTAAAGCTTTTTTAATTTGTAAAAAAAGTTACCATTAGCATGCAAGCTTACAAATTGAATCTTTGTTACTGAGAAAAACTGTGCAAGCTTATGTAAAACTTGAACCCTAACTGCATCATAGCTTAACAGGACCATGCTATGATAAAGTTTCAATTCAAAATTCACACCTGCAATTATATCAATTTTTCGTTTTGTAAAATATTACATGTATATTTATGTAAAGTTATGACACCATATTAACTTCTAACATATCCTAGTGACTATGATCTATCCTCACAACACTAGGGGTCCCCTGTCAAACCATTGCCTTTGGATACCTGACAAATTTCATTAGATCTTAATTGGGCTTGAGTCTCCCTTTCAGATGAACTGATCAAATTAAATTAGAGAGATAATGTGCACATGTAAACAAAAAGGAACCACTTAATTTCAAAACACCTTAAATGCAAGTGTGCTGCATTTGTTTGTCACCAAAGGGCTTAATTTGATTGGTTGAGAGAAAACAAAACAAAGAAAAGCTGGAGACCAACACCTTGAGGTTAAAATTGCGGAAGATTCTCACGTGTGGATACCGAAAGGTATTCAATAGGGTCTGTAACTAAAGTTAATAACTTAAAAGTATAAAACAGATCACCAACACTTCGTGAGAATGCAGCAGTAAATTTATTTTGTTGACCGGTTTCGACCTGTGACGGTCGTCATCAGAACAATCAAGCATGTAACTTTATTTACTGAAGTAAAAAATGCGGATGACGTTGCTATATACACAAAAAATGCGGATGGCGTTGCTATATACAAAATAAAATGCGGAGTGTTTTGCACATATGCAGACTTGCTTAACAATGGTACTTTATACAAGATATAATCAATTTACGTTTCCTCTAAAGTTTTTCTGACTTAAGATTTAGTCAGTAAATAACATTATTGTTATATGATTAATAAAATCGTCCATAAATTTTGTGGATTATTATTCTTCTGTTGCATCATCAAGCTGTTTCGGTAGACTGTGACGTCACAATGGAAAAAAATACGGATGGTTTGTACATGTATATAGAGTGCGTAAAATTATACAAATGGACATGAGATTACATTCCCTATAGATGTTGGGATAACATAAAATGTAATTTGGTTTCATAAATTGCTACTTCTGAATAGTTCTATTTTATGGAGGATAATAATTGTTCGTGAAATTACATTAAAATAATTAACATGTATTAATAACGCTAATTTCTTTAGAATGTTCAAGAGTTCAATGTAGTTTTATGACGAAATTCGTTCAGACGAAATGTGAAGGTATGTAGATCCTTGCTCCAATTCGTCCATTACATAAAGGGGGGGGGTGTAGTTAACAATTACTGGGATTTTTTATTGTCCTTGAATGCTTTTGTTGATTCCTTATCGGCTTCCTTCTTCTTCATAAAGTTTGGAATTGCAGTTAATAGATCGTTTACTGTAAACGTGGAAATTTTGACGATGTGCTAATTTTGACTATATTGACGATTTATCTTTTCTCGTCAAAATTTACACTCGTCAAACTTCTTACCATATACATAGCGTCACAAGAGACATTGACCATTGTACAACTTTACCGCTAGATTTTCACGGCTTTTTCCGTTTATAACTTAGATCAAAGTCACTGTTAATTTCTTTTGTAATTAGTTATGAAAACATAGTGAGATATAATCACATTTTTAAAAATCATTGAATCTAAATTAGTGTATCAAATACTGCATGCGCAAATTAGCGTAATTATCACGCCGTGCTTGACCTTGACCGCTTATAATGAAAACAAATTACAAGAGGGCAATATATTTAATCAAATCTTACACACGTAGATATAGTTTGTACAAAAATTAAAATTTAGTGATTCCGACGCTGCCTTTGCATTAAGAAAATTGAAACTCTTGATTAAATATTTCGTCAAAATTAACACTCGTCAATTTTCGTAAACAAAAAATCGTCAAAATTAACACTCGTCAATATAACCACGTTTACAGTATATGTTCCATTTCGTTAGTGTTTTCTTTGTTTTTAAGCTGGGATTTTAAATCAAGTATCTGTGTATTAATCATATTAATTCTAGTATTCCAATATTCATAAAGTAAGCGGATGAGGCTGCGGCTAAAATTAAGATGTGCTTCCTCCCAGTTTAGGAGAAATAAAGCATTACTGTCTGGAATTTGTGGAATAATTTTGGCTCTTAGTGTTTTAGGTATTAAGTCCTGTTGTTGGCATTTATTCAGGTATGCAGCATGGCTTTTAGTTCTTTGGAGTTTAATATGAAGTTTTCGGAGTGTCCTAAAAATGGCAACATTTTCTTTTGATATTTTCGGTTTCTCGGAAGATTCCACTGGATCGGATGTTGCAATAGAGGTTTCTTTCCCTGCTGTTTCTTGTTGAGATTTGTTTGTTGTTTCTGGTTGAGAGAAAGGAAAAACAAGTTTTGTAGTTTTCCGTAAAGTCATTGCTTCAATCTGCGTGGAAGGTATTTAATTAATTTGTGAGGGGAATTTGCAATGGGTTGACACAGGACCCCTGACTTTGCGAGGTTGCTATCATGTAAGCAAAATCAAATTTAAAATGTATTTGGATTTTGTACATGATTATAAATATTCTACAAATTATGACCCAAATCTTTTTAAGAATGATATTTAATAAAACACTAATATAACAAACGGAGCGGGACACTTTGAGAGGGAGAGAGAGGCCCAATGGAGATTGGTATAAAATTACATTGCAAAAGCTCAAAATGTTCTTGAAATATCGCACGGGAACGATAGTGTTACACAAAAACAGAATATATAAATTTACGACCTTGAACTTTGACCTTTTGGCCTCAAAATCAATAGGGGTCTTCATTAGGCCACAGGGAGTTGATATGTAAAATTTCATTGCAAAAGCTCAAAGGGTTCTCGAGATATCGCGCGGAAACGAAAGTGTTATGACAGAATATGCGAATTTATGACCTTGACCTTTGACCTTTTGAGCTCAAAATCAATAGGGTTCTTCTTTAGTCCATAGGGAGTTGCTATGCAAAATTTCATTCGAAAGTTCAAAGGGTTCTCGAGAAATCGTGTGGAAACGAAAGCGTTACAGACAGACAGAATGACGGACGGACAGACTCAAATTAATATCCCCCACTTTTCAAGCGGGGGACAATAAAATTATGTTGTGTAATAATGTTTGAATTGTATATTCATACATGTTGAAATGCCTTTCGGTGTCCTTAATTCTAGTGAACCGGTTCAAGAGGACTTTTTTTCGCGTAATTACGCGAGACATTGTATTCGCGAAAATGTCATTCTCGCGTAAATTACTATTCCGAAAGATTGTATTTGGAGTGGTAATAACAATTCGTGATCTCGCGAAAATAAGGTGTCGCGAAAATTTGATGATTTATAGTATCTCATCCGATCTGTTCAACACAAAACAAACTAAAACTTGACGAATGATGAACCAAAATAAATATGCAATACTTCGGAACCACAGGCACTTGTTTTGGAATATAATTACTATGGGTTAAAAATTTATTTCTGAAACAAGTGCCTGTGTTCGGAACATGAAAAACATCATATACAAATTAGAAATCAAACAAATTGGTATGATGTATAATTTAAGTAAAAGACGTCACAGTGAGAGACTAAAAGCCTGCTTATACACGCCCAACTCCTTTGCATGAAAAATTCCCATTATTATAGAAAACATATCATCATAAAATTAACACTGCCCACATAAAATTAAAAAAGTTATAACTCAACAGAGACTTAATGTTGTTTGTCTGTAAGTTAATTAGAACTTCAGTCCGCGGCCTATTATTCAACTTTTTAGAAATATTTACAGGAATTAAGTTCAGTCTTAGCGTTAAAAACATGTATCCCAGTGGACGGCGAAATATGACTCCAGTTATAATTGGCTGAAAGGATATTTTAATTGAATATTGAATAATTTATGTCAAGCTTTTTTTAAAGTACCAAGTGCACGGTGGATGGACCGCGTCAGGCGTAACTGAGCTCATTTCAAGACAATAATCATTATCCATTGTTTAAGAACAGCATAAGGCATGGATGATACATCTAAGGATGCATACTACCGGGCTTGCTTCGGATGCTGAATCTGACCTACATTTTCCGGTTGAGTGAACAGGTTAAAGTTTTTGGTGTAGGTTTCATTTCCAAGTAACTATAAGCCCTATGTTGACCAAACTTGCATGGATGATACATCTTAAGGATGCATACTACCGGGCTTGCTTCGGATGCTGAATCTGACCTACATTTTCCGGTTGAGTGAGGAATTAGGTTAAAGTTTTTGGTGCAGGTTTCATTTCCAAGTAACTATAAGCCCTATGTTGACCAAACTTGCATGGATGATGCGTCAAGGATGCATACTGGGATTGCTTCGGATGCTGAATCTGACCTACAATTTCCGGTTGAGTGAACAGGTTAAAGTTTTTGGTGCAGGTTTCATTTCCAAGAAACTATAAGCCCTATGTTGACCAAACTTGCATGGATGATACATCTAAGGATGCATACTACCGGGCTTGCTTCGGATGCTGAATCTGACCTACATTTTCTGGTTGAGTGAACAGGTTAAAGTTTTTGGTGTAGGTTTCATTTCCAAGTAACTATGAGACCTACGTTGACCAAACTTGCATGGATGATACATCTAAGGATGCATACTACCGGGCTTGCTTCGGATGCTGAATCTGACCTACATTTTCCGGTTGAGTGAACAGGTTAAAGTTTTTGGTGCAGGTTTCATTTCCAAGTAACTATAAGCCCTATGTTGACCAAACTTGCATGGATGATACATCTAAGGATGCATACTACCGGGCTTGCTTCGGATGCTGAATCTGACCTACATTTTCCAGTTGAGTGAACAGGTTAAAGTTTTTGGTGCAGGTTTCATTTCCAAGTAACTATAAGCCCTATGTTGACCAAACTTGCATGGATGATACATCTAAGGATGCATACTACCGGGCTTGCTTCGGATGCTGAATCTGACGTACATTTTCTTGTTGTTTGAACAGGTTAAATTTTTTGGTGCAGGTTTCATTTGCAAGTAACTTTAAGCCCTATGTTGACCAAACTTGCATGGATGATACGTCTAAGGATGCACGCGCTCCAGGCTTGCTTCGGATGCTGAATCTGACCTACATTTTCCGGTTGAGTGAATAGTTAAAAGTTTTTGGTGCAGGTTTCATTTCCAAGGAACTATGAGTTCTTTAATGACCAGTCTTGCATAGATGATACATCTAAGGATGCATACTTCCAGGCTTGCTTCGGAAGCTGAATCTGACCTACTTTTTGTGGATGAGTGAAAATGTTAGTTTTAATGCATGTTTCATTTCCAATAAACTATGAGCCCTATAATGAGCAAACTTGCATGGATGATACATCTAAGTATGCACACTAATGGACTTGCTTCGGATGCTGAATTGGACATACATTTTTCAGATAATAGACAAGGTAAAAGTTATGGTTGCAGGTCTATTACCAAAAACTATAAGGCTTATATAATATTGTATAAACCAAACTTTCACAAATGCTGCATCAAGAGATGAAAACTCTCAAATTTGCTTCAGATGCTGGATTTTCATTACATTTTCATGAAGAAGAAGTAGTTTAAATTTTTTATGTAGGTCTATTTCAAAGTATCAGATCAAAATTGCTTTTAAAAATATTTTCATTTATGGAATGTATACTTTTTGTTGGTTAATTGTGTGACTTATTACTTAAAGACAACATTCGTTGAGGTGAGCTGTAATCTCTGATTACCTATGTGTTTTTATTAGTCAACAAAACAGATAAGAGAATGAGAGTACCTAACAACTAGAGGATGCTCTTTGTTTTATACACACTGGAACTCTTGCACCTTTGCAATTGTGGATGTCAAATTGGACTCCCTATAAAACAGGAATTGGACAGGTATTCAAAATCAACCATTGGGACGGGCCATGCTTTTAAAGTTTTGTCAACATCTGACCTTTGGACGTGTTTAGATTTGTGTTCTAGGTTTTCGATGTGTCGCTCGGTGGATTTGAACCGAGATCAACAGACGTGCAGATTAAATGTAAGATCCGCTGTAGAGGAACCTGAGCTGTTGATGGCATCTAGCGACACCTCTCATATACCGAAGGAGGACTTTCTCGCGGTAACCTTTCATTTAAATGCTTTACAATCTGATTTAAAAAAATTGTAGGTTCCAAGAGTTAGGAAGTGGGTTGTCAACCATAAATTAACTACATGCATATTTTGGAAAATGCATTACATGTTATTTTTAAATGAAGTACAATGCATATTGAACTTTAATTTGCCTTATTTTTATTTTATAATTAGGTAAAAATTTATGATTTTTGAAAAAAGACAATGTGTTTTGTGAAACACTATGCGCCCGGCGGCAACAAAGTTCGAAAAAAGTTATTTTTAGCATAAAGATTACAGTCAAGGTCACAGGTTCATTGACCTTGGTGTTCTGAAAGAACTTGATTAGTGTAGTATACCAAATATCAAATACCAAAATATCGCATACCAAATATGAAGTCTCTATCTTTCATGGTTCAAAAGTAATGGTGAAGGTTCAAAAATGCTATTTTTAGCATAAAAGTCACATTCAAGGTCATGAGGTCATTGACCTTGGTGTTTGCAAAAGAACTTAATTAGTGAAGTATGCATAACAAATATGAAGTCTCTATCTTTTATGGTTCAAAAATTATGGCGAAGTTAAAGTTTGCAGAAAAAAGCTATTTTTAGCATGTACGAGGGGTGATCAAAAAGTTCGCAAACTAATTGAATAACTTCCATACAAGAAATAATATTTGGTTTTAATGTTGATTATATTTTAAATTAATCCTCCTGGATTATAATGCACATCAACCACCGTTCTGGGCATTGTTAATCACGTGACTCCTTCCGTAGCATTATATACACAATAGTTAAAAGATTTTCCGAGTTTTATATTTCTTTCCATGTGAGTTAATTTTTATGACAAGAACAGTTAATTTGTCAGAAATGGTCATATCTCGGCAACAGAATGGGTGGATAATAACATCCTTTCCAAAAATAAGCATGGCGACCATTAAAACACAAATCTTCTGTCTCAGGAGAGACCTTTATTCAAGGTCGATAAGAATGGGTGCATCCTTTTATCATCATCTAATATATTTAAAATCTAAAGTAAACGATATCTTAGGTATTTAATACTTATATCATTGTTCAAATATTCAACTATTTTTCAAAGTGCTAATTGAGTGAGTGTCTTTGATAGTAAATTGCTTAATTAAAAAAATTAATACATATCTTTTCAAACTTGCTTTCACTGGGCAAGATGACAAACTTGTATCATTTTTAACCATCAGCCTTCCTTCACTAAAACGATTAATCCAATCATTAATTGATTTATAGGAACTCATTTATCTCAATAAACTGTGTACAAATTATTATATGATACTGTAGAGGGATTTCTAAGATATTACAATAAATTGTACAGTTGTTTGTTGAACGAGTTCGACTGAGACAACTACTTTTCGTCACAAGTGACCTAAATAGTGACGTCATTTTCACATTGTGACGTCACAAACAAGGAGAGAAACTTTATTCAGCATATGCTATTTATAGACCTTGCGTATGGCTATGTGTATACCGAATTTCATCCTAATCTGAATTGTGGTTTCGTAGATATAGGATAGTTTGCGAACTTTTTGATCACCCCTCGTAGGTCACAATCAAGGTCACAAAGTCATTAACCTTGGTGTCACTTGAAAGAGCTTCATTAGTGAAGTATGCATACCAAATATTAAGTCTCAGTCTATCTTTCATGGTTCAAAAGTTATGGCGAAGGTTAAAATTTGCAGACAAACAGACAAACATACGGAAGCCCATTTAGGACCTATCAAAAAATATTTTTGAATTCGTTATAACGAATTTTAGATTGTTATAACGAATTTAATTTGTTATAACAGATTTAGAATTTGTTTTAACGAATTTAATTTGTTATAACAGATTCATTGAATTCATTATAACGAATTTAATTTGTTATAACAAATTCTATTGAATTCATTATAACGAATTTAATTTGTTATTACAGATTCATTGAATTCGTTATAACGAATTTAATTTGTTATTTATTTCTTGAATTCGTTTTAACGAATTTATTGTTAATACAGATTTGTTGAATTCGTTATAACCAATTCAAGAATTTGGTTATAACGAATTCAAGATCTGTAATAACAGATAACGAATTCAACAAATCTGTAATAACAGATTAAATTCGTTATAATGAATTCAATAGATTTGTAATAACAGATTAAATTCGTTATAACGAATTCAATTAATCTGTAATAACAAATTAAATTCGTTAAAACGAATTCAATGAATCTGTTATAACAAATTAAATTCGTAATAACGAATTCTAAAATTCGTTATAACGAATTCAAAAATATTTTTTGATAGGTCCTAAATGGGCTTCCGTACAAACAGGCAGACAGGACAAAAACAATATACGCCTCGGATCTATCGATCCGGGCGCGTAAAAATTGAAAGGAATCGAGCACCATATATTAAATCCCTGCATTCGGAGAGAGATACATAATAAAAATTTAATGAATAATAAAAGTATGAAGAGGGGAATTTCAGGCACGTGATATTGGATATATGCAGTTCTGTCTGGAATGACCTAATAGCAATAATATTGTTACCTGTCAGCGGAGCTTTTTACAAAAAATTCGGGGTGAATATAATGTTCAAAGTGTTTAAAAGAATGACCAGTTTCTGGCACAAAGTCTTTTCCATACACAGACACTGATGAAGTCTTGATTCCTCAGACGACTTCCAAGCATTCTTTTTCAATAACGACGTAAAGATTTCTCCCTCTCCTATAGTTTTCTACTGGCGTATGTCACCAAAGATCGTATTTTATAAACCCAGTCTTCTCTTTATAGATCGTAAATGATGGTTGTTTTCACCACTCCTGCGAAAACATGTCTATGTGCCTAGGTGGGATCTGTGTACCAATATTTGGTAGGTATATTGATAATACTGCTAAAACGACTAAAATTGGATGTATAACATTTTTTTTTAAATAGAGGACTTTTGCCAGAAAATATTGCATTAGATTGATTAATTTTATTTTTGGAAAATTTATTTTTGATAATATATATAGAAGTATACTAGACGAAGTCAATGACAATTAAAATTTTTCATCTGTGAAGTCTTTACCAGTATAATCCTGAAAATAATTTTGAAACATTTGGAATTTTTAAAATGTGTACTAAACATATAGATCTCCTAACATCTCAAATTCATGAATTATAGACAAGAAGTGTAACTCTCCTCCTGTTGTATTAAACTCCGAGGGAACCCCTCCCGAGGGCCCCTTCCCTATTGGACACACCCACAACTATACGTGTTCCGTGGGATATATGGGGTTCTGGGAATCCTATACCACATGCCAGGATAATGGAAAATGGTCAGAAGTAATCTTTCAGTGCATAGGTAAAACTGGACATAATATCTGTGTTATCAATTAATTACAGGTGGTTATATATTAGATTTACGATTTTTCTTATCGCTGTGAGAAATTACTTAACTATATGTGGAAATATCTTTAATATGCACCATTGATGTTTTTAAATAAAAATTAACAAGATTATTTATCGAGTATAGGTAAAAATAAAATTAGGAGATGAACATATATGTTAAAACTATCTGTCTATGAAATACTAGTAGCTAGCACATATGCTCCATTTTGAATTTTTGTAAAATTGAATCTTAAAATATTTTTTGGGGAGAGGCGGCTTGTAAAAACCAAGTGCCATGTTGTAAATTTTGAATTTACTGGATGGGAGTAAATACAAAATTTAGAACATGGCAAAAGGCCCCACTGTACCTTAAAAATGAAAGAGAAAGCACGTATCTAAGAAAAACTACTGATTATTTACAAAATGATTTTTGTAGGGCAACTAGCTGTCAGATTCTTACGGACATCTATGGTAACGGCCGAAATTGGCCACTTATTTGAAAAAAAAATCATGATAGTTGGAAATTATTTTTTCTCATTTTCGATGGATTTCGTTACTTTTCACTTTGGCAAAGAGAAAGCACTTGCTTGCATGTACAAATGTAATTGTTTGTATACGAAAGATACATCTAATAGTAGTACATGATATGTATGAAGTGGGTAAAAAGCGAGCTAATGCTCTGTGTTTTCTGATACAAACGTTGAAAATGAAAATGAAGAAAATCAGCATAAAACTGAAGAAATTTGGAAATTGGATGGCTTTTCTGACCTCTCTGTATCATATCATATGACATTTCTTAAAACATTAGAAACAAAGTAATTAGGGCGTAAATGTCCATTCAGTATGTGCAGTTTTAATTACAGATATTTGTATTGCCCAGTTTTAATTTCAGATATTTGTATTGTCCATGGAAACAGACGGATAGGGACTTGGTGTTATTTCTTTACAACTGTCAAAGCAACGCGCACGGATGCAAATGTGAGGATCTCTCTCTCTTTCTCTCTCTCTCTCTCTCTCTCGAATGTGTATAGTTTTTAGCTGCCATGAGTCAAAATCTCAAACTTTTTCAGCTGTCTCTATATCTGTCTGTCTGTCATCTGTCATAAATAATTGCCTGTATAAAATGTTTCACTTTTCTGTTACTTTTACTGGAACTTCTGCTTCAACCAAACTTGCCAAAAATCATCTTTGGGTAAAATGTATTTAATTCTGTTCACAGACAGTCCCTCGTTCTCTTTCAAGGGGAGATAATTTTGAATTCTTGAAAATTTGGTGGCATCTTTTAAAAATCTTTATCTCAAGAACCTCTATACCAGTTAACATGAAACATAGGTGAAAGCTCAATCACATACTAGTACTGTAGATTCAAGATTGTTCAAATCAGGACCCTTGGAGAAGGGATGCACAACATTGGATCAAATTTTTACATAGAAAACATCCTCGGGAAGTGTAGATTTTTGTTAAAATGATGATCCTTGGGGAGAGTGCAAGGCCACAACAGTGGATTGACGTTACACAATTACAAACTAACAGGAATATACATGTTATATATTAGATAAAAGTCTTCTCAAGAACGGCAACTGCAACAGCATAACTATACTAGTATTTTTAATGTAGAGGCATCCTGAGGTAGTAAGATTGAAATTTGTTCAAACCTTAACCCATTTGATGTAGAATGGACCCATAATTTATGATCAAAGAAAGAACCTGCTGATGAAGTACAGAAAGGACTTTTTGTTAGTTACTCGGGTGAGCATTGTGGTCCTTGGGCCTCTCGTTAAACAAGTAAATTTATCAGTGGCCACTTGTAAATCCGGGATTGGAGCGACAGTTTGGGGTAATTAAAGACCATTTTTCTGCTTCTTTCAGGCTCTTTGTACAAACAGAGGAATGTATCTTTCCCGCATTGAAACCTCGAAAGAATGGTACACCTTACAGCCGCATATCAGTAGGAATTTTTTGAGCTGTATTAAAAAAATTCAGTAATCAATTAAAAGAATTTCAACAGATTGGGAACTTTGTCTGGGTTCATTTTGTTTTCTATTTCTTTGTTTAAGGTGGTAGCTATTGGATATCGGGATATGCTGAGTATACATTCGGGCTTGCCCGAGCCTTTTACTGGTTGCCGGGTTTTAGAATTGGATTTGCACCGTGGCTTCCAGGACAACCTGACAATGCCTTGTTCAATCAGTTCCATATCAGAATCGCGCAAAACGGATGGGACGATGAATATAAAGACACAAAGTTGAGAGTTTTATGTGAAGCAGATTACTAGATATTATCAGCTTTTCCTTGTATATAATGAAGACGCCTATTTACAATGCGGCCAATTGAATAATTGTCTACTAGGAATAATGAAAATTACACGGGAATAAAATATCAAATATGAAACAAATGTGTCAGACTGTGGTATCCTCACTTCCAGTTCACTGGGATATATCAAGTCGACATATGGCTGGAAGTAAAATTTGAATGATAAGACGTCATCAATATACCCGGTATCTAAATGTTCTCGAAATTTGTGAATAAATTCTGTTTCATATGGATCTTTTAACAACGGAGCGTGATTGCACGGTATACATGGAAATCTGACAAATTGTCGGAAGACGAGATCGCAAAAAAAACAAAAACAAATATAATGTCAATCATAAACTAAGGTCGGCTTTGAAAGGAGCACAACTAGTGCCCATTAAAATCCAATAGTTTGTTGTAAAACGTGTTCTCCGAAGACAACATATACTAGTATCCTGACAATCAGAAACTCAAGCATTTTTTATAAATATCAACATCAGAGTACAATCAGAATGTTTTAAGCAAATTAATTTTGCAAATGACTAATGACAAGGTAAATAAATTTACCATTCCATTTCCATTTTTTTTAAAGGCAGCAAAGGAAATCAGTTGTTCATGGGCAGAGAAGACTGAAAGTAAAAGCATGTTCTGTAATACTGTAAGTTGTTTTAATACCACGGTGTTAAAATTTCACGATATCTCAAAAAGTACCAATTGCGATGGTTTTTTAATTTCACGTTGCAAGAAATTAATTTAAATTTTCGTATAAGCATTTAAACGTTTAAAAACTGATAATAACATTTACGATGGGTTTAATTTCGCGGAAAAATGATAAATCGCGAACATTGGCTTAGCGAAATTAAAACCATCATGATTATTTACCAATCTACAGTATCAAGGTCGGATTCTTCTCCGGTTTCTGGCTAGATGAAGTATTCAAAGTATATTTGCTTATATGTCTTATATATAATTAAGTGAATGAGATTTAGAATACCATATTTTTCTTCCTCATCACAATATTGTACAACTTTAAACAGAAATGTTTAATCTGTAGTCTCCCCTTAGGTTTCCCAGGTAGGAAATCTTTGAAATAATATGTCATGATACTTATTTCACTAAAGCTCCAGCAGAGCGATGCAGGATCGGAAACAATTTAAACAGTGGTAAAGTGTGATTATGAGATCTTATCTTAGAATTTTGCTATTGTTTTGATTAATATATTTCAATTAATCTAAGGTACGGAAAACTTCGAAGTATTGCTTTTATATTGTTTTTATTAAGAATGACTATTTAAAACTGTTAAGAATCATTATCAACTTAGCCTCTTGTTTTACGACAAGGCGCAAATTTTTAAACCCGCAACCTACCTTAACGTGGTGATTTTAAATTTTCAATCGTCCACTTCCCTTACTAATGCAGCCATATACCTTCTCACCTGCATACAGGATTTATATCTCTTAGTTGACTTAGTACGCAAGAGCATGCTCTACGTATGAACAATATCTAAAACGAGGTAAATTTGACAGCCAAATTGCTGAAACAAGAATATCTGAAATATCGTTTAAAGTCATCATTTCGCAAGTCCTGTGTATGGTCGATACAATGACCTTGTCAGCAAATACAATTTATCATTACGTTAAATCCGGGCTGCTGTCGTTCATTCTAATTGTTAGGCCATTATTTACTCATTGAGTTATCCACAGATTTTCTGTTATTTCCCATTTGCAAAATTATTTTGTTTTAAAAACATTCTGATTGTACACACAAGTTCTCTGAAGTCGACATCAAAAAGATGCTCGAGTTTCTGATTGACAATATCTATGTTGTTTTGGAGACCTCGTCTTCTATTGGAATTCCAGTGGGTACCATATTACGCCCTTTTATTAGCAGACCTTTTTTTGTATTCATATGAAGCAGAATTTGTGCAAAATCTTATGCGTGAAAAGAAGAAAACATTTGCCGTGGCCTTCAACTCGACATTTAGATATATCGACGACGTATTTTCGATTAACATAACATTACATAAATGACTATCCACAAGCACTGAAACACTCTTATGTAAATATGTATGCAGATATGATACCTCACAAGATGTAACTGATAAGTCAGTAGAAAACATAGAGTCAAAGATGTGTGAAGATCTGCAACGGAGTACATGTATATGTTGGATTGAGCAAAAAAAAAATTAAGTATAAATTTGTCTAAAACTCAGTGTATGCTTGTTGGAACGTCACAAAGACTATCTACGGTAAATGTCGAAAACTAAATTTAGTTGTAAATAACCATGTAATAGAATGTGTACAAGAGTCAAAAGTACTTGGTATTATTATTGATGAAACTTTGTCCTGGAAAAGTCACATTGAACCACCTGTATGCAAGATCTCTAAAAGAATTGGCATTTTAAGAAGAATAAGATATTTTATGTCAAATGATGCATTGTTGAAGATTTTTAATACCATGATTTTCCCTCATTTTACATACTGTTGTACTATATGGAGTAATCCAAAAAATGTTGAAAATGTGAAAAAGCTATTAATTTTACAAAAACGTGCTGCTGGAGTCAATTTGAACATCAGAAATTTTCAAACGCCATCTTCTGTCATATTTACAAAACTCAGTTGGATGCCTCTATCAGATTACTTTATCTTTAGAAAAACCATTTTAGTTTATAAAGTATTACGTGGATTGATGCCTGATTATTTGAACGTTTTTAATTATGTATCAGACGTTAGCCAAAGACAAACAAGAAATTCCAATTCAAAGTTATTGTATGTACCCAGGGCAAAAACTGAGTATTATAAGAGATCTTTCGTTGTTTCAGGTAGCAATGTATGGAATACACTGTGTGAAAACATCAGAAATTCGACAAGTGTTGTATGTTTTAAAAGAAACTATCTTAGAGAATATCATCATGCGTCTTAATCTTGTTTAGTATTTTTTTTTTATCTTATAATTCATTTTTTAAAAATCTTATATGTACTCTATTTCTTTTAAACTATGTTTTACTAATACCTGTGTGTATGTATGTTATATTTCAGGACCATATTGAAAACTAGCATTGTTGCTAAAGTATGTCATCCTGGATAAATAAAGGCTTTATTATTATTATCATAATTGTTATTATTATTATAACAATTGTAATTTTCATTCCTATGTCGATATGATATATTCTGGTGAGTCTGACACATCTGTTTCATACTTAGATATTTTACTTGAAAAAGAAATTAATGGTAATCTAACAATCAAGCTCTATGATAAATGTGATTACATTAACTTTTCTATTGTCAACTTCCCTTACTCATGCATCATTTTACCTTCATCGCCTGCTTACGGAGTTTATGTATCTCAGTTGAGGCGATATGCAAGAGCATGCTCTGCGTATGAATACTGTAAATCGTTTTTAATTCCACGGTGTTAAAATTTCACGATATCTTAAAAAGTACCAATTGCGATGGTTTTAATTTCGCGCTGCAAGAAATTAATTCAAAATTTCCTATAAGCTTTTAAGTGGTTTAAGAAACTAAACGGAAAAATGATAAATCGCGAACATAGCGAAATTAAAACCATCGTGATTATTTGCCAATCTACAGTAATTTCTAAAACGAGGTAAATTTTTGACAAAAAAGTTGATGAAACAAGAATATAAGCAGTCTCGTTGAAAGTCATCATTTCATACATTGCAAGTTCTATGGTCGATACTATATGATCTTGTTAGCAAATACAATTTATCATTGAGTCATATGCTGACTGACGTTTTTCATACTAATTGTTAGTCCATTATTTATACACTGTATTGACGACGGGTTTTTCCGTTATTTCCCGATCATGACAAGGACCACACGGCGGGTGCTCACTCTTCTATTGAACCTGATCCCACCTCTGATGTTTTGGAGGTCCGTATTTGTTCTGCTCCTGTTTTGTATTGTTTTATGGACTTTTGATCTTGAACACTGTTCGTTATCTCTATATGTTTCATTTAGAGTATTTTTAAATAGAAATTATTAAACTGAGATGATATTTTTCGTGCATTTTGTCTATTTGTATCGAACTTTAGATCCTTTTTTATGTTTTCAATTCAATCATTTTTTTAATAGAAGTAAATTATATCATACAATGTACATGGTACAAAAATATTTATACTATTTTGCAATATAAAATTGAGCACCCTTTGATACTTCTTCTAGTCTAGATCTAAACTTAGATCTAATATGATATAATTTCAGAATTTGCTACTAGTAGGTTTTTTGCATTATCTTGCATATAAGTTTGATTCACAGGAAGAAACTCTGCCATCCTGTAACATTTTCATACATTTCAGTGACCATCCAGTGACTTTCCAGACATTTCAGTGACCATTCAGTGACTGAAAGGTGCAGTTTCATTATGTTCGTATTTTTTTTAATAAGTATTTCAACACTGTTTAATGGTGTCTCTGTGACATATTTTATTTTATTCAGATTTTATTTGATAAAATGAAATATGTCACAAAAGACACTAATCAAAAATAATTCATATTCACATCCATTTACTAGTATTTTACTTCATCAATTCATGTTTGAATGATTTATTTGCTGAGTTTTACATTGTGCCTATAATTATAAGATATATCTCAGGTATTTTTCAGGTATTAAAATCAAAAGGATAATATATAATACAGAG